ACTGTATTTGATGGCATATAGGACGCATGGGTATATAAGACGCACCCCCATTTCAGCAGGTCAGATCAGGAAAAAAAGTGTTTAGTGTATTTAAGCATATATTGGTGAAAGTAATCTAACAGCACATTACACAAGCAGAAAACACTTGAACATAAACTAAAACACAGCAAGAAGTTGGTTCACAAATCGGCTAAATAGCCTATGTGCGCTCAACGCAAAGACTTTAAATAGATAGACGGAGCACGCGGTAGCATTCCCTATTGTTTGCTTGTAATTTGCCTCTATCTCTATCTTTGCTCACTGATTGGCCGTGCATTTTTTGAGTTGTTGACACAAGTTGGTCGCTATATCAAGTTTCACAATAAAGATAAAATGACGTGACGAAACCTTGTTATTGAAAGGACAAGCGTTCACACTTTTAAGAGATAGACCTTCCATCCTTTAACAGGATGCTGAAAATTCGACTGCGTCTGGCCTATGCAAATTTCCTATTTCTTATTTCGTGGTTGGAATGCTGTACTGATCGTATGCTAGGATAGTGAGCGTTAGGAAGAAGATTAGCCTGCGGAAGGTCTCACTTCGCATATTAGACGCAGGGCGATTTTTTGAGCCAAAATTTTGGGAAATAAGTGCATCCTATATCCCATCAAATACGGTACTCTGTTCAGAATTTCAGTAAAGAGCTCAGTTTGCTCTTTTCATCATTATACATTCATAAAAAAAACTTAAATCTTCTACAGTTCAATATTATACTGGCCCAATAGTCTGGGACAAGAAAAATGGTTTTTGTATTAGTTGCTATTGGCACACTAGTCCAGTGAGGCTAGTAACTTAATATTGAGTGCCTGTTTGATTTCTAACTGTTTTGATATATTCATCAATTGATTTGTTTCTTTTTTAATCTGAAACAATGATATTAATTTCTCAAAATCAGCATTATGAAATTGTTTATTTTTGAAAGCAGAAAAAAAAGTATTAAAAGCCAGTCAGAAAATTCTTTTCTATCTCTGTGTATCAGTATTGGTACACCGCTGAGTTTGTTGTTTTGTAAACTCTACAGTCACAGTTTTTACAAATCCAAAGAGTATGTGAGTGTGTATATATGTATACTATACTTGCAATATTTAAACTAGCTGTTTAATTGTTTATTACTAGATAAAATATTGTTTAGTAATTAGTACAATATTTACATGTTGAACATTTTAATGGCTGTATTGGTAATGTACTTGTAGCTGACAAGTCTTTTAACAAGATGGAATCCCAATAGCCATGGCTATAATTAGATTTCAAATTGGTCAAGAGATGGAGCTATCAGCTAAAAGTTTGTACTTGAAAAACAAGAGGGAATCTTCAATAGCCATGACTGTAATTAGATCTCAAATGAAATCAGTCAAGAGATGGATCTATTCTATGAACCATTATGACTAAAAACATACAGTGTACATTTACATTTCACATTTTTAATTGTGTTTTAAGATATAAGCTTTATTATAAGTTTCAACTCTATGGTAAGTGTTATAACATTTAATAGGCCACCATACAATGCAAAAGCCTTTTAAAAGTTAGAAGATGCATGTTTTTGTAGCTGATACATCTCTAAAAAAATGCAATGTACAATAATCACAATGAAAGATAAAATTATTAATATCTTGGCTGTCAGAAATTAGAAGTCAAAATTCTGATTGGTCTGTTTCATTGAGGCATTAATTGACAACCGATGATATTGTGTTTTACTTAGTAATTAGAATTTTTTTTACAACTCTACATGGGTTTCAAAATATTTGCCAATTAATTTTTGAAAGTAAACATAAGATAAAGTAAAAGAACAAATCTTCATGTCTTGTTTACATATTGTTTTGTTACCAGATAAAATATTTGTGAATAACTGGGCTAGTGGCTTAAAAATTAGAGACCTTTATTTATGGAAACTTTAAGGCCAAGAATATGGAAATTATCACCATGTTGTACAAAATTGTGGTAAGGCCTTATGTGAGTATTCTTTTCAGTTTTGACCCTCTTACTATATAAAGATACTGATTTTCTAAATTCAAAATGATTCCTGGTTTTGAACATTTAGCTATGAAAATTGAGAATTTAAGATTTGAACTTATGTGAAGAGTAGAAGAATTAGAAGTGACCTCATTCAGATGTTTGAAATCTGGCTATGAGAGGTTTGTTGGAGTGGTAGAAAGATAAAGTTAGAGATGAAATTCTAAATATGAGAGGAAATAAAAATGTAAAGTGTGGAAGCAAAAATACATGTGGTGTGTGCTGGTAGGTTAGAAATATTAACTTATGGAATGACTAGCTGAATGATGTGTGTGTGTGTGTGTGTGTGCTGGTAGA